CCATACACATTCACACACTGCCCCCCACACACTGAACCTTTCACACATATTGCACCCCTCACACATTGCACCACTGCTCCTATACCCTACTACAGCCCCATATCCCAGCAGACTCCAGGTAAGTTGTTAAACTGTTCTTAAACGGTTTGACTACTTACATTGAGAGGGGGTGCCGACACTCCTGGCACCATAACCACTACACAGAGGAGTAGTGGTTATTGTGCATGGAATATTTCTTTAAATAATCTACAAGTGCCCCTCCCGAGCTCAGGCTCTGGATCCGTCACTGGTATATGACATGTATATTAATGTGTATATTAGTTATATATATATATATATATATATATATATATCTATTATATTTACACATATTAATGTACATTTATATATGCATAATACACAGAGAAATTTCATTAATATGTACCATATGTAATGAGCAGATATTGGCCCAGTCTTGTTGCTAGGTGCATACTCCAGCACAATAACATATTTAAAGTGAAGAGCACACCCACAGGACTTCAAAATAAAAATTTTTTACAGTTGTGCCCTACATACATTCACCATTTCAGTCCAATTAACAAACTTTCCTTAATATGTCAAGGTAGTTGGACTGAAACATTGATTACATGCAAAGGCACGTCTGCTTAAAATAAATGCACTTTTGTTTATTTGAGTGCGCTTTTTACGTTGAAGTACTTTTTAAGTTATCTGTTCCAACTCTGTATCTGCACACTATGCTGGCATTATGGGGCTGGTAAATATTTTTTTTCCAGGGCTGCTTTTAATTCCCAGTCCGGCCCTGCCCATAAACCATCCGTAAACCTAATAGATGAAGAACCCCGGCACACCAGATTTAGTATGCACGTATAAAATCTTTTATTTGTTTACAAAGTGGATAAAACAAAGTGGATAAAACAGACCAGAGAGCAAGAGACAATAAAAACCTCCAACATTTCAGCAAACCTGCCTTCCTCAGACATTGCCTCTGTTTCGACAAACAGAGTTTTTTTATTGTCCCCTGCTCTCTGGTCAGTATGCCTGTTTTAATATGGGTTTTTGGATTTCTATCTTAAACATTAAACATGCAAAAGAAGGTGTTCAAGTGGTGTACTAATTAATAGTTACATGCCTGTACTATCATCTGCACTTTTTCTTATATTATATGTGTTTATCCACTTTGTAAACAAATAAATATTTTTTTACCTGCATACAAAATCTAGTGTGCTTGGGGTGCTTTATCTACTAAATATACTAAAGAAAAGAGAGTTTTCCTACTTGTTTTGCATTTTTTTTTTAATTCTTCATTAATAATAGTATTTACTAAAACTTGGAGAAAGGATTATCATATTAAATAGTTTTTACAGTGATAATTGTCCTTTGAGTAATATTTAATCTTTCTTCCACTAGAGGGCACTAAGAGTCCACTCAGATGTTTGTTTAAATGTATATTTCATATCATGTACAATGATTTCCTGCTTTAACCAATATATGTCCAGTGCATCAACACGGCAAATTATTATTATTATTTTAATTATTGGTTATTATTTACATAGCGTCAGCTTATTCCGCAGCGCTTTACAACAAATCATTCTTGTATTGTAAGATTTGCTCAGTGATCCAGTTTTTAATTGCAATTAAATATATTATAGAAACCAGTGACAAATGTCAGTGGTTTATCATATACACAATATGCAGTCTATGCACTAAATTGTAAAACATGTTTTTTGGATGCAAAGGAAATAAGGACAAAAATTAAGTTATTAAAAGCTTCTTAAATCTTGAGTAGATTAAAATAATATTAAATGGTAAGTCCAAGGACCATAACAACTGCAGTTCACTGTGTTGGATATGTGTTCCTTTTCATAAGACTCATACCGCTTACAAATAGTTTGTTTCTTATTTTGGTCCTGCAATGTGGTCCCCCTACAGATAAAGAGAAAATTCCCGTAATGCATTAGATATATTGGTATTTTTTAATCCATTGTTAGTGAAACACGTTTGGATATTGTACTGCTTTTAATTATTGTTAATAAATAGATTTTTGTCCTTTTACTCTTTTGTACCATTATCTTTTATTTACATTTTTATTTATTTTTTATTTATTTTTTACAACTACCTGGCTTTTTACTTTATCTTACCTTTCCCTATACTCCAAAGAATCCTTAGGTGGGGATCATACCACCAACCGTGCCCGTGTCATAGAGCAGTTATCCTGCCCTATATACTGTGAGTATATTTTATATACTAGAAATATTTTACTGAGAGCACTATTGCTGTTTTATTATCTTCTCTCTGAGCTCCTGTTACCATCTCCAAGAATGCGCATCATATATTCCAGAGGTGGGGATCATACCGCTGTATGCCTTCTACACTAGAGCTAGTATAAGCTCTATCAAATGTGAGTGGATCTACTATATTTTAATTTTTTTTATCTATTTTTGGAACATACTGCACCATTACTGTTTTCGTTTTATTTCCTCCCGGCTGTCTGTTACTGCACCGAAGAGGAGACTCACCGCATATCCTACAAGCAGGGATCATACCGTTGGAAGCTATTCACACCAGCGCTGGATTACGCTCTACAGAAAGTGAGTAAGATCTCTTGTATTTATATGTGATATCTCTTGGATCTCCCGGTATCATCACCCTTTTCATCACTTTTAGCCCTCTTCCATATATTCGAAACCTGCTAGGAGCAGAACTCTACAATTCCAGAGACCAATCTAGGATCCAAGTTCCACTATACTGGACTCTGTTTTATTATTACTACCTCAATTAGGACTTTAATTTATCTACCTTGCCTATTAGCACAGTCCCATCCCTTTGTTTTCTTTCTCTCTCCTTCTCTCTATATCTATATATCTATATATCGTGTGTGCGTGTGTGTGTATTGTATTGTTTATTTATTTTTATGTTATATTATATTTTTATCTTGTACCCTATTGTAACAATGCAATGTTTGGATTGTACCCTACTGTCACAATGCAATAATTGTGGGCCCAGGATATTCGAGAGAAATCTCAATGTATTCTGCCTGGTAAAATATTCTAAATAAATAAATATATTGGGTAAGAGTCCTGGAACTCATACCCCTAAAATGTAAGTAGGAACTTCTGCTGTAGCAATATCTGAAAAGAGGGACCGGCCACTGTCATGTGGAGGACTCAAGTGTCAAATCATTTGAAAATGGTGACTCCTGGCACCATAACTACTATAGCACTCTGAGGCAATTGTAGGCATTATTGTATAAAACTGATCAATAAAAATATTTTTAGATGTGACAGTGAGACTTTGCATAATTAGATTTGAGCAACGGCCAGATTCAGAGATGCCAGAGATTAGACTAATGCATCCCTATGGAAGCTCTAACTTCCCCCTCAATGAACCTACATATAGAGTGAATCAGGAAGCTCTCCTTGCTGTCAACTTGGTGGATAGAAGGGTGTTCCTAAACCAGTTCATAAATGTGACAATTTATCTTAAATATACTTTTTTTTTTTTAATTGGGACAATGGGGAATGTTGGGGAATGAACCCAAAAGCACTTCAGCATCACCCCTAAACATAATTATTGAAGAGGAAGCCATTGGAATAATTGTCTGAAGTTTGATGGAACATAATAGAATATGCCATTCTATAAACAAATTTAGTTTAGTTGAGGATTTGAAAATAAAGAAAGAAAATCTTAAATTCATTAATGGGGGTTATGTAAAATCTTCTCATTGTGGTGCATCTGATATCTGCTAACGTTCTTGGAAAAAAGTTAATCTGAGTGTGTGAATAGCCCTGTCCAGTCTTCTCCTGGCCTAAGAGAAAAGCACCCACTATAGCTATAGTATGGTTAAAAAGAGCCTCTGGCCTTTTCTATTCTGGATTTCACAAGAGCATCCAAGACGTTTACATACGCATCCTTACAGTCACAATTCAGGAGATACCTGTTAAAAATAATGCCACAGCCTTAGGCCGAGGTAGGGATTAAAGTGGTTTCACACAGATGTTCCATTCCAGCCTACCTAGTATTTAGCTTACATACTCTTTACTACAATGATAAACTTCTAAAAGTATCATTCAGATAGTCTGCACTATATTACATTTTGTTCATTTGCAGATTTGTAATCACCAGTTTTAGCACGCTTTTAAGGTAACATTGTTTATATTTGTGTATATTTGTTTGTGTCACTGGGGTACAGTGCAGCTTAACTGAGTGCTACATCATTTTCATAGCGCTTGTACTTTATTGGATTTTCTTATTCTCACATCTAGTGCCTTAGTCCATTTTATTTAATTATCATGGATATGGACTTGGCCCTACATTCTATTCACATCCACATACCTCATACTCCAGAATAGACATGTTCCTTATCTCCCCATCACTACTGCCCCTGACGACGAAAACCTCCATAGGCAACATAGCGTGGTCGGATCACGCAGACATATAATTGGAACTGGAAATCCCTCTGATGACAAAAATATGGACCTGGCTACTAAACCCCACCCTACTCCACAACCCCGACATTAGAAAAAACATCCATACAGAACCAGGACATTACTTCACAGACAACAAAAACTCAGTGTCTTCGACGGGCATACTATGGGCGGCACACAAAACAAGCC